CTAAAATATATCATCAGAGATATCCTGACTATCATCAGAGATATCCTGACCATCACCAGAGATATCCTGACTATCATCAGAGATATCCTGACTATCATCAGAGATATCCTGACTATCATCAGAGATATCCTGACTATCACCAGAGATATCCTGACTATCATCAGAGATATCCTGACTATCATCAGAGATATCCTGACTATCATCAGAGATATCCTGACTATCATCAGAGATATCCTGACTATCATCAGAGATATCCTGACTATCACCAGAGATATCCTGACCATCACCAGAGATATCCTATCACCAGAGATATCCTGACTATCACCAGAGATATCCTGACTATCACCAGAGATATCCTATCACCAGAGATATCCTATCACCAGAGATAATCGACAGATCCCAACAACAGTAATAAATCTGACATAGTCGAATCATTACATATTAAACACTTAGCCGTAAAACAACAAAAATAGCCTTTTACAGTTTAAAAGCTGCCCGTCCTCATCAACAAAGTTCAGTGTTCATCCCCTGCTGCCTCCAAACAGTACGTGAATGAGTAAAGGTGTACACACGCAGCCCGTCCTCCAAACAGTACGTGAATGAGTAAAGGTGTACACACGCAGCCCGTCCTCCAAACAGTACGTGAATGAGTAAAGGTGTACACACACGCAGCCCGTCCTCCAAACAAAGATCCAAAAGTGATTCCAACCACCCGCCAAACCCCCTGTTTATGAATGAAAGGCGGTTTACACACGACTCAAAACTGATTTCGTTCGAACACTTCCGGAACAAGTGCTTCACTGACGAGTTTTGTTCGAACCACATCGCTATAAATGCTTCATCCACGTACTACAAATGCAAATAATCGCCAACCGAACCTAAATACCTAACCTAACCTAACCTATGCCTATATATGCACTATATGCTAATATATTATAATATTAATTTATATTTGAGAAAATTCTTGCTTTGAATGAACAGCATGTTAAAATTTATGAATGCGTCTGTGGGGTCGACCGCTGGATGTAATGGACTTGAGTCGAGGACGGGTTGACACACGACTCACAACTGATGAAGTTCAGACATTTCTCGATCAGTGCTTCGCTGACGACCTCTACTCGAATCGTAACTCGCTAATTGCTTCACCCACGTACTATAAATACAAAATAAGTGCCAACAGATCCTAAACACTTAACCTAGCACGCGCCTAACTATTCACACTATGCTAATATATAATAATGTTAATTTATTTTTGAGAAAATTCCTATTATGCTCAGAATGAAATGTCCATGTAGCACGGGCTATGGTGAGCCCGTAAACTTGCTGCCCATAATATTATAGCTATATTTGTCACCTCACCTGTCACCTTCCTCTTTCCTGCCTATATATTTTATGTACTGTATTGCACTGATTTTTCCGTTGATGATGTGTTGATGTACACGAAAGTGCTCAAATAATTTCGTGCTTCCCTTTTTTTCTTCGTTACTTTACGTTTTCACATCATTCATCACGTGTGGTGTTCCCACAGACGAGCGTTCGAGACACTGTCAGACTTCTGGTGAGTTATTCATTACATTCGCGGTATTTTGACCTTCAGTTGATATACAAAGTGAGGGAAAGGGAGGACCACCATTGGTGACCTGAGGGGCTCCTGTGAAGGCTAGTGACTCGGGCCTGGTAACACTGCCTGTAGTACTCTAGAGTCTACCCATTGCTCAGGGCTCAGAACCCCATTGTTCGGCGCTCAGGACACCATTGTTCGACACTCAGGACTCCATTGCTCGGCACCCAGGACCCCATTGTTCGTGGTAATTATAACTCACCCAATAAAGTTATTTTAACAACGTTAATGGCGGGCAACTCTGATGGATAAACTCACAAATGCTAGAGAGAGAGTTGCTTCCTGCTAGACAATCGTTACACACTGCCCAATATATTATATAATTGCGCATAAATTTGGCAAATCGCAATTGTTAGAACTGAACCAGTCGAGTCAATCAACACACGGGGAGACAACGAGTCAATCAACACACTCGGGGAATAATAGATTCAACCAATCCACGATTGAATACCAAGAAAAATCTAGTTCTTCTACCAAAATGTTCACAGGTATGTAGCTGTGTGAGTAGAGTCATTGACTCACGACGTGAGTCAATGACTCTGTAGCGGTGCTAGGAAACTCAAAAGACTCATTACATGAGTCACCTTTGTCGGCGTTGAATACAGTAACCCACTCAATACAGTGAATCAGTGACTGTCTTGTTCAGCACGCGTAGAGAACCAAGATGGCGGTCACCTCTGACCCGCGACCATCAACCAGGCTGCTCTGGCTTTCAGAGAGAGGAATCCAAGTCACCGTGACCTGCAGGTTGTCAACGCAACAGCCACGGTGGGATGGGAATTACAGTCTGGCAGCGGTGTCACCAGTCCGCGGTGAGCTTTGAGAAAGTATCGTTCTGCCTTCCTCTCCGCGAAAGGCACTAGACTCATAAACTCCGGCAATGGGAGTTTGTCCGGGGCCATTACTGTGCTATGTTTCAACAGGGAAGCCGTCATTTGCAGGGTCCAGGGGGGGAGGGGGAGTGGGGAGGGGGTGGCATCTGTCAGCCGTATAAACTGTGTTATTACTGGTCAAAGTCTGGGCATTAATAACAGTGTTCGCGGCTTATTTACATTTACTGCTTAGAGAGAGAGGGAGAGAGAGAGAGGGAGAGAGAGAGAAAGAGAGAGAGAGAGAGAGAGAGAGAGAGAGAGAGAGAGAGAGAGAGAGAGAGAGAGAGAGAGAGAGAGAGAGAGAGAGAGAGAGAGAGAGAGAGAGAGAGAGAGAGAGAGAGAGAGAGAGAGAGAGAGAGAGAGAGAGAGAGAGAGAGAGAGAGAGAGAGACGGTGGCGGTGAGAATAACAATTTCTCATTCTCTCTTTCTCAAATGTCTCTCGTGAACAGTGTTGGGGGGACGACATTGACTTGTTTCTCATTATAAATGAATGGGAGGGAACTGAGAACTTGACCTACTCTCTCACCCTGATGGAAGGGGCTTCCATGTGCCCAAGCACTGCGACGGTCGGGGATTGAACGCCGACCTGCATGATGCAAGATCGTCGCTCTCTACCGTCCAGCCCAAGTGGTTGGACCACCTTAAGGAAAGACAAACAGAACTCATGATAACCTCCACATACCGACTTAAAAGAGACAGCCGTTAAGAAATGACTAAATAAAGTGGAACACTTCCTTACAATAAAATTGATAGATTAGTTGAAACTGTATACAAAAAATACACAAACTCAAGAATGTTAACAAGATGTTTCATACGCGAGAAGTCTGATGATTAATACACGGAAAGTTTGTTAATACACGGGAGGTTTAATGTTTCCTACACGGGAGCTTAACCTCTTAATACACGTTAATTTGGTGATTTAATTATGATCCTGGACTCCAAACAACCTTGTTACAACATCAAACGTCGTCTAAACGAATTTCGCCTCAAGTAAAATCTAAAATTATAATTCATGGCTTTTACAACAAATTTTTAATATAATATTTTATCCAGAATATCTGGAGTCAATTAATGGAGTTGAGAGAAAGTTTCAGTAGGTATAGTACAGTGAAATTACAGGCGTTTAGTGGAACATTTTTGTCCCACTATAATGTTTTTCTTGAACGTTTGTGGAACGTTTTTGTTGGGACGGCGGCACTAAAGGGGGTTCCAGGAACGAAGCCTTCCTAGTGATATTGGTAGTTCCAGCACTTCTGGAACTCCAACCCTTCTGGAAGTTCTGGAACTGTAGCAGGTTTCATAACTTGTGGAGGCTTCAGCTCCAAAGGTTCCAGCATTCCTGGAAGTGGAATACCTTTAGGAGGTTCTATCATTACTGGAAGCTACAACTCTGCAGGAAATTCCATAACTGCTGGAAGCGCCAGCACTTAACAGGCTACCAGGAAACCCAAATACTGCAGTGAAATACATCACTGGTGCATTATCCACCACTGCAGTGAAATACATCACTGGTGCATTATCCACCACTGCAGTGAAATACATCACTGGTGCATTATCCACCACTGCAGTGAAATACATCACTGGTGCATTATCCACCACTGCAGTGAAATACATCACTGGTGCATTATCCACCACTGCAGTGAAATACATCACTGGTGCATTATCCACCACTGCAGTGAAATACATCACTGCTGTATCATCCAGCACTGCATTTAGTTCCTCTCAAATTTCCTTATAATTTATTTTATGTTCTCCACTTACATAATCTAGTCACCTGGTTATACACTGTCATCTTCCTTCGGTATGTCGTAACTCCGGGTGTTTCTCTGCTCAGAATGCAGTCTTTTTCAAATTATTTATTTCCTGATACTCCTCTGATGTACATGCCCTCGTTTGTAGCGCTGTCATATTGGTTCCAGTTTCTTTCTGTTCTCTGTAATTTTTCCGCTCGGTGCCGCATACTATTTTTGCGTTTTTGGCCATCGAACCATGGGTTGTTTGACTCTTATCTCAGCCAGTGTACGTCACGCTGCAGTGTTGGATTGGAGAAATCTTCTAATCCCTTTCAGAGATTTATTCATTCTTGGATTGTCTTCTTCTTCCTAAGTTCTCCCTCTCACTGCACATTTCTCACACACACTCGTTCACTTGTGTCAGTCCATTTTTTTTGCTTTCTATTATCTTTTATCTGACTCCTTGACTCATGGTCTTTTCTCTGACCCCTTGACTTGTGGTCTTGCTTTTCCTTATGCCACGTTTCAGACGTGAGGACACAATGCAGTCTGACTACTTGTCGGTTTCATGCTTGAAGTTATTTAATGTTTTCCTCATTTTGTGTGAAGATCACGTCTAAGTGCACCTTCTTGCCTTTGTTCTTGTACCATCTTGAACGTGTTTGTGTCTCGAAGTTTGCTCAGAGGAAGTTCCAAAGTTTTCCGTCCTTCCACGGAATCGACCCCTACCCCCCCCCCACGTGTCTTAAGCACCGCTGGGGATAGGAGGGGGGGGAGGAGGTTCGATTCCCACTCTCTCTCTCTCTCTCTCGCCATTATTTACGTTCGCGATTTGTAATTTGACTGGTATTCTATGAGCTGTTGTTGCTGCTCTCTGCAGACCATCTTTGAATTCTTGTCTGGATTTTTTATTTGTTTCTGTGTGTGTACTTATCTGTTTGTGCCTGCAGGATCGCGCATTAGCTCTTGGACCCCACTATTCAGTGTGTGTGTGAGTGTGTGTGTGTGTGAGTGTGTGTGTGTGTGTGTGTGTGAGTGTGTGTGAGTGTGTGAGTGTGTGTGTGTGTGTGTGTGTGAGTGTGTGTGTGTATGAGTGTGTGTGTGTGTGTGTGTGTGTGTGTGTGTGTGTGTGTGTGTGTGTGTGTGTGTGTGTGTGTGTGTGTGTGTGTACCACCACTTCACTACTTAATGTGTCATAATAGTTCAAGACTCTGCTAGTGAAAAATTCCCTCCAATATATTTCTGACTCACTTGGCTACTTAGCTTACACATGTGTCCCCTTGTTCGTGTATCAACCACTTCAACTAATTTATCCTTGTCTTCGTAATCAATTCCCCTGAGAACTTTGTACGTGGTAATCATGTCTCCCTAAAGTCTTCCATCATTCAGGGACGTAAGATTTAACTCATTTACTCTTTCCACGTGACTCATCTCTGTCAGGAAGGAGATTTTGCATCTATTACCATTGAAATTTCAATCTAAATTAATCTCCCAATTTGAACGGGACCATTACGCGTACCCCGGGCTAAATGATGTAATGACACGTTGAAACATTCAATTATTAATATTACTATTAGCAAATCATTAATTTATGTCACGATCAATACAATTAAAAGTCGGCAGACTAGACAGCGCCCAGCGCGCATGCGCGGTGACGTCACTCAAACTGTAAACATTGTCATTTTATAATTGTTTCTTCCGTTTTCTTTGTTAAAACCAAGCGGGACTAAAGAAAAAATAACCATTTAATTTATATATGAAATATTACGAACCGGTTATTTGAAACAAAATACCGATAAGCTTCATAAACGAGGTCATGACGTCATGACAACAATACCCCCTTCCCCCCCTACCCTCACCCCCTTCGATAGTCAAATGCGAACGAGCAATTAACGTGAATCTGGCATCATAATTTATTGTGTGATGAGTTGGGGGTAATTGCTTGGTAATGTTTAACAAAACCACATGGTAGCTGCTAATGCTGAGTATGATTATGAGTATGATTATGTCGTGTTATACATAGGCTGTATGCTCTCGTATACTCTGGCGTCTCATGCGTTATATACACAGACTATGTATACATATTGTATATGTTTTGTGAGCCCATGTTGGGTGGCTATGTGCCGGGCAGACACGCCAGTTATTTTGTGTTCAGGAGAAACTTTCAATGGACGACACAGTTATCCTTGATTGATTAAATCAAATCCCCTGACCAATCAGTGAAGCCACAGAAAGCTTGGCCAATCAGGGCACAACACCTGTGTACCATAGCCAATAGAAGCAAAGCAAGAGGAGTATGTTCATGGACTCCTACCGAGAGGTACTTGTATTTGTGAAGGATGAGCCACGGCTCTTGGGTCCCGCCTTTCAACTCTTAGGCGTCTGGTGTAAAGGTTCCACAACTTACTGGGCTGTCGTATGTACAGCCCAGTATGCTTTGAGCTGTAAATAATAAAGCCCCAAAGAATATTGGGGCTTTGCAGCCCAAAAGCTATGCATGGGGTTGGCCTCAAACCTTCTCTGCTTAACTTATTCCATTTGTTAACTATTCTGACACTTAAAAAAATACTAAGTAATGTCTCTGTGTCTCATTTGAGTCCTTAACTTTCATCTATATCCCCCTTAGTTCAAGTACTATTCCTCTGACGATTACCTTGAGTATTTTATATGTGGTAATTATGTCTCCCCCTGTTTCTTCTTCCCTCCAGTAACGTGAGGTTCAGTTTTCTTATACCTCTCGGCTGTGCGAACAGTCTGGTCGCATTCCTCTGAACTTTCTCCAGCTTCTGTTTGTGTTGAGCGATATGAAGACTCCACACCGGTGAGAAACATTCCAGAAATGGTCAGACTTATGTGATATAACAAGATTATGAACGACTCTTTATTAATATGCCCAGAGGCCGTTCCTGTATCAGCTAAACTTGTGTGTGCCGCTGATGATATTCTGTTGATGTGGGCTTCTGATGACGGGTTGGGGGGGGGGGGATATTAACCTATAAATATTTTTCTGTATTTACCGTTGTCAGGGGGCAGGAGAGGGAAGGGTGGGACTCCTTACCGTTGTCAGGGGGGGGGCAGGAGAGGGAAGGGTGGGACTCCTTACCGTTGTCAGGGGGGCAGGAGAGGGAAGGGTGGGACTCCTTACTGTTGTCAGGGGGGGCAGGAGAGGGAAGGGTGGGACTCCTTACTGTTGTCAGGGGGCAGGAGAGGGAAGAGTGGGACTCCTTACCGTTGTCAGGGGGGCAGGAGAGGGAAGGGTGGGACTCCTTACTGTTGTCAGGGGGGGCAGGAGAGGGAAGGGTGGGACTCCTTACTGTTGTCAGGGTGGGGGGGGGGGCAGGAGAGGGAAGGGTGGGACTCCTTACTGTTGTCAGGGGGGCAGGAGAGGGAAGGGTGGGACTCCTTACCGTTGTCAGGGGGCAGGAGAGGGAAGGGTGGGACTCCTTACTGTTGTCAGGGGGGCAGGAGAGGGAAGGGTGGGACTCCTTACCGTTGTCAGGGGGGGCAGGAGAGGGAAGGGTGGGACTCCTTACTGTTGTCAGGGGGGCAGGAGAGGGAAGGGTGGGACTCCTTACTGTTGTCAGGGGGCAGGAGAGGGAAGGGTGGGACTCCTTACCGTTGTCAGGGGGGCAGGAGAAGGAAGGGGTTATCTTTATCATGCTAGACGCTTCTTTATTAACTGTACTTTTAATTCTGACTTATTGCTTTCACTCTGACGTTTGTCAAGGTATTGTTCGGCCACTTCACGGCTCACTTGCTGAGAGAGAGAGAGAGAGAGAGAGAGAGAGAGAGAGAGAGAGAGAGAGAGAGAGAGAGAGAGAGAGAGAGAGAGAGAGAGAGAGAGAGAGAGAGACCTGGAACTTAACACATCTCTATCCATGCAATAAACGATAGGCTTACCTGTCTCTCCTGTCGTTCAAATATTATTAATAGTTTAATCCCCCCAAAACCAAGATAGGTATCACGTTAAGGATTTGTTCCTCGAGTAATGGTACAATATTCATCACAAAAAGAAATCATTCATGTGTTAAATAGACTGGTGATACCTGAGGTGGACGGGTGAGGTAGTAAATAGACTTGAGAACAGGTCGTGTGGTACTGGGAACCACTCGACCATCTGGTATTAGAAGACATGAGAGTCATGTATTGGGAGCCAATTATAGGGTTGCTATACACAGTATAAGGTCCAAGGGAGGGTTCCCAGTCATATATGACCCTTCAGCCGCAAAGATTGGCTACCATTTGATAGGATGTCCAGGCCAATATGAATGAATTGTCCGGAGCAATAGGTATAGATGTCCAAGACAATATGTACCGATGTCCATGTCAATAGGAATGGATATTTAGGCCAAATATATATATGACTGTCGAGACCAATATAAATGAATTGTCCAGAACAATAAGAATTAACTGCCACTTGGAGAAAAAATATTTCAATAATACGTAATATCATGAACAAATGATTCCACACATATATATATATAGCAAGCCTGGCACGAGGATATACCTGGCATTAAGGAGGATGGTTCATACAACAGTGACGGGCCTCATGCTGCAGCCTGATACGGTCGTAATGCGAGCTGTTTCTCCTCATAATTACATAACCTCCGAAACATGTTACGGTCCGCGGCTTGGGAGCGGAGGCGGCAGCCGGCGCTAATGGCATCAGCTGGCACCTAAACAGCTGGAAGATAGTCGTCTGGGTGTATAATGCTCCTAGGAAGAATAATGTACTACACAAGGCTGATACATTGAAGAAACATTTCTGTATTAAAAATTAACCTCTAGAGATTTTTATAAGGCGTTTCCTAGATGTTAGGAACACTATAGAGACACACAGACATTACATAATAATAATTTCATAACATATAAGATATATTGTGCAAATTGTTTTGTAATAAAATGTTAGTGAAATATATATATATATATATATATATATATATATATATATATATATATATATATATATATATATATATATATATATATATATATATTCCTTCACATTTAGCTAATGTAATTAATACTATCCATGTCTTGAGGCAAGCCTTAACGAGGCAGGAACTGCACTAAGTTCAGATAGTAAGCGTGTGTGTGTGTGTGTGTGTGTGTGTGTGTGTGTGTGTGTGTGTGTGTGTGTGTGTGTGTGTGTGTGTGTGTGTTTACTAGTTGTGTTTTTGCGGGGGTTGAGCTTTGCTCTTTCGGCCCGCCTCTCAACTGTCAATCAACTGTTTACTAACTACTTTTTTTTTTTTTTTTTTTTTTTTTTTTTTTTTTCCACACCACACACACACACACACACCCCAGGAAGCAGCCCGTGACAGCTGACTAACTCCCAGGTACCTATTTACTGCTAGGTAACAGGGGCACTTAGGGTGAAAGAAACTTTGCCCATTTGTTTCTGCCTCGTGCGGGAATCGAACCCGCGCCACAGAATTACGAGTCCTGCGCGCTATCCACCAGGCTACGAGGCCCCGAGGTGTGTGTGTGTGTGTGTGTGTGTGCGTGTGTGTGTGTGTGTGTGTGTGTGTGTGTGTGTGTGTGGCAGTAGCTGGAGAGGACGGTGTCGCCCGGAGGGACGAGGCCCCGTACTGAAATATTCAGGTATCCGCTTATGATTCATTGTGCTTTTAACTGTGACCTTCAACTGTGACCTACAACTGTGACCTACAACTGTGACCTTCAACTGTGACCTACGACTGTGACCTACAACTGTGACCTACAATTGCGATCATCAACTGTGACTGTCAACAGTCACCTGAACTGTAATCTTCAGCTGTTACTTCTACAATGACCTTCAACTGTGCAGATATCTTAAGAAGAACACATGTGCTTTGTGAATACTGTTCCTGGTCAAACACATGTCACCATGACGCAACACGGTGAGTGCCAGGAGGCAACACGGTGAGTGCCAGGAGGCAACACACCGTGAGTGCCAGGGCCACGCGTGTCTGGAGGCCCTCTCCCTGACGCAAGGTCAAGAAGTGACACCAGTTCGACTCCCAGCCGCGGGACAGGAAGCATTTAAGTCACAATTTCCAGAAATCAATGAATGCTCGCTTCCGAATTCACAAGGAAATACTTATTTTACATTATTATTGTTATATATCTTTTAAAAACCATCTGAATTAAACCAATTTACGCCAGATGAAATGGGTCAAGAGTTCTAGTCATACTGAATGAAATACACAAAGGCTTTATGAGCAAAGGTTTCAATACACAGAGCTCGATTCACTGAAGCTCGATCTTGTTCACTCGAGCTAATGGAATATATTAAGACCATGTATGGCAGGCCTTGAGAGGCAACCAGGGTTATCCTGGAGGTCGTGAGGTCATCGTACCCAGGTTATCCAGGTGATCGT